TTTAATTCATTTTAAATTACATCACCTTCCACATTAAAAAAAAAAAAAACAAAAATTAAAAAACAAAAACCGAAAAATCAATTTTCAACTGTCTCCTCAAAACAACTCAAATGTTACTCATTTTCTTAATCGAGAAAGTCAATTTGATTTTTGCCTTGTTGCCGACATCATAGCCTTATAGCACGCCAAAAAAAAAAAAAAAAATCAAAGTCGCATCTAGTTCTCTTTTCTTGATGGTAAAATGTCATAAAATAAAAATAAAAATAAAAATAAAAATAAAAAAATCATAAATGCACACAATTAAGAATGAATATCATTTTTTGCATATGGTGTATGGTTGAGTTTTACTGATATTTTGATAGTAAGTCACTTCTTATAGATTGTGTTAAATTAGGTTAACAATCGATTATTCCGAAATCTAAATCCACAAATATAGTGATAATACCTTAAAATATCCTTTTTTATGTGTTAAAAAAAAATAATATCACTTGATGCATCCCATCTTGCCACATATACATATAAAAAAAATTATTATAATATCACTTGATGAATCCTATCATTAATGTCACCGTTGTTTGTTTGTTTGTTTGATTGTTTATTTGTTTGTTTGTTTGCTGTTTTTTTTTTTTTTTTTTTTTTTTTTGTCTTAGTGAAATTTTTAATAGTTTAATATTTTTTTAAAAAACTTTTTCAATAAACCTATCCAAATACACTTAAATTTAGTGAAAATTGTATTTGTGAAGAAATTTTTAAACACAAATATTTTGTGTTTTAAATGCATCTAAATGATATAAATTTAAAAAGTAAAGAAAATAACTATGAAAAAACTTTACTCAATACAGAGCCTAAAAAGCTAAAACAATTTTTGAATTTCAAAACTAAAAATTAATTTTGGACCCTTGTGGTTTTGTAAGTGGACTACTCTTCCCTCTTACCATGTTGCCCCGAAATTCATCTGGTCAACGATGCAGTTTGAGACTTGAGAAACTTTGCGCTTTATTTTGGCTCAAATTGTAATACATGTTTCTCATGGGGCCCTATATTTGCGTTAAAAACAGTTATAAGGAAAGTAATAAGTTCAAGCCTTAAAAATGTGAATCAAACATCTTTTTAATTAAAATTATGGATATTTTTTCATAAATTTCTTTTCACCTATTTATATTCTATTTAATTCACATTATTTTTTTATATTTGAATAAGTCCTATGGGTAACATATTTACAAAATTACCCCTATTAATATTCACATTTACAATGTAAATATTCTGCGATGTGAATGTCCACACTGTCAATGTGAATATTCACATTATAAAATATGAATGCTTACATCACTAAATTGCTAATCGATCAAAAAATATTTGTAAGGGTAGAAATGTTAATAAAATACTTTAAATATGAGAACTAGGATTTGATAGATCAAATGTTCAAATAATAGAACTTATTGAAATACAAGAATATCTTATGAATTAATCGGAATACAAATACTAGAAAAATGATTTTCTAATAAATCTCTCTTCAAACTAAAAGATTGGAACTAACGTAGATGGTGTGAAAATAAAATAAAATAAAATAAAATATGCATCTTAATTTAAAAAACATAACAACATCATTTATTTTTTTTCCATTTATATGACTACCAAATTACTAATAAGAATGAGATTAAGTATTGTGTGAATTAAAATACAATTACATAAAAAATAATAGAGCTTACTGTATTGTTTCTAGACCACAAGAACTTACCTTTCACTTAGTTTTTTTTCATAATTTTTTACCAAATTAATTTTTAAAAAAAAAATTAAAGATAAAAACATAATTTTGAAAAACTAATCCAATCGTTTTTATCTTTTATTTTTTATCAGATAAATTACAAAAACACTCCCTTAATGTTTATTTAAAATATGAATTGTGTTATGTGATTCTGAAAATTACATACTATCTCTCTAAAATTTTAATTACATAACAAATGGCCATTTTATTAATAAATCATTAACAAAGTGTTTGGAATGTGACTATTTTAATTAGTTTTTTTTAACTTTTTATGAAAAGACATGTAAAAAAATAGAAGTAATACGATTAGGTGTTTTGACTTTTTAGCTACTTTAGCTAAAAAGCACCATCCCAAATGGCCAAAATCAATTAATAATTTTTAATGATGTCATAAATATATTTTAATTAATAATTCTGATAATTTTATTGTTGCATAGGATAGTAGTTGGAAATTTAATTTTTTCTATTAATTTTGTTAAATAAAAAATTTTGACAAGAAATACTTATAATTTTTATAATCACATGAGATAATATGTATTTTAAGCAAATCATAATAAATGTATTCATAATTTACCCTTTTTTATTTTTTTTATTTTAGCTTTTGGTAGCCGGTGGGCATACACGGTAAACTTAACCGTGTGATGTATCATCCCTCCTTCACGTTTGTTGTTCCGTGAACTTTCTTTGCATATGTTATCTAATTTCCCCCTTAAAAAAAAAGATAAAAACGGAAGATAGTAGGTGCTTTCCCATAGCATAATGTTTCGGACCCCACGGGGGTTGATCCACAGGACCCAGTGGAGTCTGATAGCCAGAAAAATAAAAAATAAAAAATAAATAAAAAAATTTCTCTTCTTCCAATAATCAATCCTCACGTGTATGTGGAGAGTGGTGGCGTTGGAAAAATTGGGAGACTCAATCACGTTTCTTTCCCATATTCTAATGTTATACAGAATTTCATACCAAAATTTTGTGGTAATGATCTTTTACAAATATAATTCGGAAGATGTTACAATATGCACCATAAAAAAGATACATATGGTATATCTTTTATTATTTTTTCACCAAATTTCATAATTTAAACCCAAAATGTCATAAGTTTTTCACTACAAGAGTCATAACTTTTTTTCACTGAAAAATGTCATAACAAAATCTCAAAGAGTCATAACAAAAATCACAAAATGTCATAACATTATCATTCCTAACCTTAGTGTGCATATCATAAATTTGTTATTTATAACTTTAGTACAAAATGTCATAACACATCACAAACAATCATAACGTTCATCATAAAAAATCATAACTTTTTTACAATATGCACCATTTAAAAGGGTGCACATTGTAAATTTCTCCATATAATTTATCCCTGTAAAAAATAACGTTGATCGGACATCAATAGTTACTTGATTGGATCAGATTTTTGTCAATAATTTATTTTAAAAATTATAATTACTGTTGACAAAAATCTAATCCAATCAAGTAGCTATTAATATTCGATCAACGTGATTTTTTTACAGGAATAAAGTACTCAATTGGCTCACCGTCAGCACCATTGTCATTAGTACTGTGAGTCGAGTGAATTAATTTCGTTTAAACTTAAGTTTGATAATTAATGACTTTAAAATTATGTTCAAGTTGGTTTAGATATTAAATCGATTTCGAATAAACTTCTTACAAGCTAAACACAAGTCGAGTTCAAGTAATTTAATTTTTTATTTATATAAGTTTATCGAGCTGAATAGTAAATTATTTAAATTTAACTTAAAAACTTAACGAATATATAACTATATTAAAATTTAATTTATTTACATAATAAATTATTTTCAAATAAAATTTTAATAAATAGAACACGAGTCAAGTTCAAATAATTTAGTTCATTTAATAACTCTATTACAAAGCGCCATTAAATTGCTACGGTCGTATATATGTATTAATTAATATACCAACTAATATTATGACATTATTATTGATTCTACCCATTATACAAACAACTTTGCTACAGACCCCCACTGGGGGTCGACCCCCAGTGAGGTGGCAGCCCCTCATCCGTCCAAATCACAAAAAAAACAAAAAAAAAAAAAAAACAAATTTTTTTTTTAACACCATTGCCAGTGCCATCCCCTTGAGGGACCACCGTTTCCCGCCTGCCACCTCGTAAGCCGCCCTTCGATAAATTTGCATATATTCCATCGAAAAAGTATTAGGATCTGTTAAAAAATTAATTAATTAATTCTTTTGTTTGTACTATTTTTTTTTTAAAAAAAATTATCATTTCTTTTTCGCTTTTTAAGTAAATCTAATATAAAAAAAATCTATAAAATAAATTTAAAATTTTTTAATTAACAATTTTTATATCATAAATATATGTCAATTAGGCTTATTTTGGGAAGATGGTAAAAAGTGACTTTTTGGCTTTTAACCAAGCTTTTGGCTTTTTTAGACAAATGATTTGGGAAGTTGGTAAAAAGTGACTTTTGACTTTTTTTATTAATGTTTGTTTATGATGTCAAATCATAATAAAATGACCAAACTACCCCCATTTATTTAAAATATTTACGACTTCACCTATGTAATACATTTTGACCAATGAGGGTAAAATTATAATTTCACCGTTGGCTAAAAACCAACTTCCCAAATGAAAAAAAAGACAAAAAAGCCAACTTTTAACTTTTGCTACAAACCAAAAAAAGTGACTTTTAGCCAACTTCCCAAAATAGCCCTTAATAATTCTAGTAATTTTATTGTTTATAGGATAGTAGTTATGAATTTTATTTTTTCTGTTAATTTTGTTGGATAAAAAATTTGAACAATGATAGGGATACAAAAAATTTTACCAAAATTTGTATGGGACTTACACTCAAGTGGGACTCAAACTCATGTGAGTATGGTAAAAAAATTGGGGTTTCTTGTATTTTTGAAATTTTTTTGACAAAGAGAGAGTTGTAATTTATAGAACCACAAATAGTAATTCATATTTTAAATAAAATTTAAAGGGTATATTTGTAATTTAATTTTTTTATGTTTTATTTTAGCTTTCGGTAGACGGAGGGCATACACAGAAAAATTTACCGTGTTATGTAGCATCCTTCCTTCATATATGTTGTTCTGTGAAGTTTCTTTGCATATGTTATCCAACTTCCTCCCCAAAAAAAAACAAAAAAACATGGAAGATGGTAGGTGCTTTCCTATATTCAGTGTTTGTGTGTCTATAAATAAAAGACATGCTACACATTTCTATTCACAGCTCTTATTCTTCTGCATTGCTCATAAATACAAATTCATTGTCACAGAGAGAGCCAGAGAGAATGGAACAGACGCTTCACCAAGCAGCAATAGACGGCAATGTCACATTATTACATCAAATACTTAAAAAAGATCCACTAGTTCTTTATAGACTGAACTCTGGTTGGTTCGGTTGGAGTCCTCTGCATGTGGCTGCATTACGCGGGCATGCAAACTTCGTGACAGAAGTTCTGAGTCTAAATCCAGATCTTGCTGAAGTTCTGGACTCTTCACAACGCTTGCCCCTTCACCTTGCTTCGGCAAAAGGGCATGTTAACGTTGTACAAGCGTTGACATCGGTAGATCCTGACATGTGCTTAGCTCGTGACAAAGATGGTAAAAACCCACTTCATCTTGCAGTCATGAAGGGCAAGGTCGATGTGTTGAAAGCGTTAGTTCAAGCCAATTCCCAAGCAGCTGAGGTCGTGATGAACCGAGGTGAGACCATCTTACATTTATGTGTGATGCGCGGCCAATTAGATTGTCTGAAAGAACTTTTGAATACCATTAAAAATAAAGAGTTTGTGAATGCTAAAGATGAAAGAGGCAACACCATATTGCATCTAGCTGTGGCAAATAAACAAATCAAGGTATGACCATAATCAAGATTTTTTTTTTTTTTCATTAACCAAAAAAATGATTTGGCCAAAGTTGCATCTAACTAATATATTAAATTTTTTTTTTTTTTGGGCAGGCCTTAGACTACTTGCTTACCAATGCGACACTGGATGTAAACATAAAAAATGCTAGCGAGTACACAGCATTGGACATTCTAGCACAAATTAGAAAGGATTTGAAAAACCCAAATGATATTGAAAATAAACTCCGAAAAGCTGGAGCCATGAGCGGCAACGATGTCGGACAATCTGAGTGGCTAGCTAAGAAAAAGGAAACAATAATGTTGGTGGCAACGCTCATTGCAACAATAGCTTTCCAAGCTGGGTTGAGCCCTCCAGGTGGTGTTTGGCAAGACACTTCAGATAGACACAGAGTTGGAGAAGCTGTAATGGCTTATAATTATCCAGATTCATACCCATATTTCATTCGTGCTTGCACGATAGGATTTGTTGCGTCCCTAAGCACAATCTTGTTGCTCATAAGTGGATTGCCATTCAAGAGAAAAATTTTCATGTGGATTCTAGTTGCAGTCATGTGGTTGACAGTTACATCAATGGCAGTAACATATGCAATTTCTATTGTTGTGGTCACACCAAAAAATGATAGAAAACCGCTCAGTCATACTATTACAGTTGCAATCATCGTGTGGTGTAGTCTAATGGCAATTCTATTCTTACTGCACACGGGTCGCTTAGTGAAAAAGGCAATTGGCGAGGAATGGAGTAAACATCTGGTCATCAAGAGAATTCAGAAAATCAAGTCAATTGAACTACACCACCGTGTTTGAAAAAATATTTAAATTAGTTTAAAGAAAAATGATTTTGAGCACTAAAGGAGCATTAAATTGTCTTTTTCCTCTTTGTGTTTTGTCTTTTTTCTCTTCTCTTTTTATTTTAATTTTTTTTTTTTTTGCATGCCACCTCACTAGAGCTGCTTTTAGTAGTCTTCTTTTAGTGGTCTGTATCATAGTTGTAGTTTAAATGAGTCGTGCTAACTTTTAATCCTTGTATTGTTTTTATCTTTTTATTTGATTTTCATGTTTAATATGTGCAATTCTATTATTTTCTATTTGAATATTAAATTTATCTTGAGATGTAAAAATGAATAGAAATATCATTATTGATCAATTCTATCGTTATGAACAATTTCTTTTTTAAAATAAAAAGCAACTATGCACACATTTTAAAGAGTCTATACTATAGAATTCACGATTAAATTAAAATTTAACAAAATGATTGACAATCATAACATTTATACAGAATTTCATACCAAAATTAAGACTTTCTAAAAATGTAATTCACATTAATAAACATCTATTTATAAAATGATGTGATCAACATTAATAAACATCCAAGACTATCTTTTCACATTAATAAAAATCTATTTAATAGAATTTCATGATTCTATTTACACCCTTGAAATATCTTTTCACACTAGTACAATTCTGAAGGTGTGTTAAAAAAATGAGTGTAAAAAGAAATTGGACTACACACCGACTTCTTCCAATAGCATCTCTACCTTCATCACTCACTGCTACCATCAAGCCACAATATTGTCCACTGCCACCATCAATGATCAACATCATCCCAAATTATATCAAAATCAATGTGTCCAGAGAGGTATTTTAATGAACAAATTAAACCCAATAATAGCTTGAGTGATCGTAGTTTTGTCTTTTGAGGAGTGTTTTTTTTTTAAATTTTTGTTCATGTTGTTTAAGGAGTTGAAATGTTATAATCCTTGGTTATGCCCTTCAAAACTAATCTCACAACTGAAATGAATGAGGGGAACTTGATGATTTGGAACCACCAGAGGTGGTGGCTCAGTAGAGAAAGCAACTCATCTCCACAGGCTTGACCCAGGGTCGAATCCTGGGGGGAGTGTGGAAGTGTTCTCTTTGAGACCCCCTCTCTGTACTCCGGTTCGAACTCTCGGCGGTCTGTGGCGTATAGTTGAGCTCCCCTGGTGTCCCGGTAGTGGGTCCCTCACATGGTGGGGGTTAATTCCTAACTGGCAACCGGTTACCCCAAGGTCAGGGCCCACGGGGCCGTGATGACACCTCAGAGTCCTTTTTTCCCTGATTAAAAAAAAAAAAACTTTCACTCTAATTTTTTTAATCCCTCATTTTTTAATTGTATTTTCTGGATTAAGTTTTTTAAAAATTGAGTTTTTTGATTTTTGTGTTTTTTTATTTTTAGTGAATATTTTTAAAATTTTAAAAAAAAAAATTTACGTTTTTAGATACACCTTACTTAGATGTGTCTAAAAAGTAAAAAAATTGGGAAAAAATATTTTAAAAAATTAAGAAATACATAAAAATACAAAAAATGTACTAAATTCTTGTATTTTTTTTTTTGTATTTTTGATATTTAATGAATTTTTTAAAGATTTTTTTACAATTTTTTTACTTTTTAAGTGTATTTATGTTAGGTGTGTTTAAAAAGTAAAAAATTTGCATAAAATATTTAGAAAATTCAGTAAAAACAAAAAAACACAAAAAATAAGAGTGCAAAATTTTCTGAAAACTGTTTTTAAAAAATGGGAACCAAGCAGAGTGATAATTTTTATTACAGATTACAACTCTATTTTTTCGTATTGTATTTAGACTCTTTTCATATGAATGCCTGTGTCACCCAAAACAGGGTAAAACAGAGCATTACACCAACACTAATAGCAAACTAAAATTTGACACCTAAACTAACTAATAGTCACTTAGGCTAACTAACATAGCTTGCCATTTCATCATCTTCATTTAACATTTGTTTATCAGCTTTGTTTTGGCTTGTATTATGAAGCCATCAAATTTTTTTCTTTGATTTTAAACAAGAAATTAACTTCCTCTTGAGCTATGAGTAAAAAATCTTTCCTTGGTTCATGGCTCATAATGTGCTACCAATGCTAATCTCAGTTGCCCATGATTGTTGCCATCTGATTTACTTAGCCAACCGAGAGGTTCGATTTAGGAGTTGGTGGTGACCCGACCTTCACGAATAGTGGAGGTGGTTTTGTCCTTCAATGTAGACTTGAGAAATAGAACTTGAAGAAGGGAATAAAAGCCATAATGTTTTGAATGTAGTTAAAACAAAGAGTTTAAGTTGAGATGAAATCAACCACCATTGCTTGTAAAATATAGATTTTCTAATCAAATTTAGAATTACATATTTGATTTCATTTCTGGATTAGATTAAATTTGAAGAATTTTCATTTCAAAACTGTTAAAACTACTCCACTCTACCTACTCCACCTACTCCACTACACCTACTCTCCACCCACATCTCCTATATAAAGGAGACCAACCATGTACATAATATATATCAATCATAATACATACAATTTATTCTCTCTCTATCAATTTATCTTACATGGTATCAGAGCAAGGTTAAGAAGCTAGTAATTCTGCTTCACCGGCGGGGGGCAGCCTCGCCTTGGCCGCCCGCCGGACCTCTACACATGCCTTCACTCTCTCTCTCTCTCTCTCTCTCTCTATAGTTCTCTCCGCTTCTCTCTCTTCTCAGCAATGGCGACTATGACAGTTCCAGACAACCTAAGCCGAGAACAGTACGTTTACATGGCGAAACTGGCCGAACAAGCCGAGCGCTACGAAGAGATGGTGATGTTCATGGAGAAGCTTGTCGTCGGATCCACTCCCGCCGGCGAGCTCACCGTCGAGGAGCGCAACCTCCTCTCCGTCGCCTACAAGAACGTCATCGGCTCTCTCCATGCTGCCTGGCGTATTGTCTCCTCGATCGAGCAGAAAGAGGAGTCTCGCAAGAACGATGACCATGTCGTTTTGGTCAAGGACTACAGATCCAAGGTCGAGTCCGAGCTCTCTCTCGTCTGCGCTGGTATTCTCAACTTGCTCGACTCTAATCTCGTTCCTTCCGCCACCGCCACCGAGTCCAAGGTGTTTTATCTGAAGATGAAAGGCGATTACCATAGGTATCTTGCTGAGTTCAAGGTTGGTGATGAGCGTAAGGAGGCTGCTGAGGACACTATGAACGCTTACAAGGCTGCTCAGGATGTTGCTTTGACTGATCTAGCTCCAACACATCCCATAAGACTGGGGCTAGCCCTCAATTTCTCAGTGTTCTATTACGAGATTCTCAATTCATCTGATAAAGCTTGTAACATGGCAAAACAGGCATTTGAGGAAGCAATAGCTGAACTTGATACTTTAGGTGAAGAATCATACAAGAACAGCACTCTCATCATGCAACTGCTAAGGGACAATCTGACTCTTTGGACTTCAAACATGCAAGACCAGATAGATGAATCCTAAACATCTTTCAAGCTGACGAGTTGTGATATTCTCCTGGAGGAGGGATAGGCAAATTGTCTGAAAGGCTGTCTAGCTCCCACTATGTCAACTTTTGCACAAACACATACCTCTTTTTCTTTTTCTTCTTAAGCAACTGAGTCAATCTTCACCTTTTGCACCCCACCCACATTGCTCCACTTTCTTTATTTTATTTTATCTCTCTTTTTCCATTATCTTATTATTATTATTATTATTTCAAAAAAAAAAAAATCCATTCACAACCAACTCGGTTTTCATTCCACACAAACTTGTCCTTTTTTCATGCCGGGATCAACCCCTCTCACAATTTTACACCACAACCGAAAAAAAAAACACAAAAAAAAAAACACAAAAAAAAAACAAACAAAAACAAACAAAAAAATCTCATCCAAAACACCGGCCTTTCTTTTTTGCCTATTCCACTATTCTCTTCTTCTTACTTTTATCTTGGGTGTCCCGTGACAGCCCGGTCTCAGTACTTCCTAATCCACTGAGCACGTTCATCCCCCCTCTCCTCCACTGCAGCATATGGCGGACCTCCAAATCAGAACATAACGGTGGCCTTCCGCTTCAGCTCCTTGTTTTCCGCTTTTAGCACACATATCTCTGCTCGCGCATCCTTATACATGCGCTGGAGCAGAGTCAGTTGGGCGTTTAACTGCTGCACCTCATTTGTCCCTCTGAAGCCGGTGCGACAAGTTTGTGACCGCAGTCATGGTCTCCACACATGACTTCAATGTATACTGATTGCCTCAATATCTGATTGCACTGCCATTTTTTGCTCCACAGACCGCATAAGAAAGTTCAACGGAGCAAAACCAGAGGCGCTTGGTTGAGGTTCAAGGCAACGCGCACCGGTTATTTCTCTTGTGGACTCGTTGAGGTCGGGAAAGAGAGTGAGCAGACCACGGGAGAAGAGGCCATATTCTGGGTAGCTGAACGGGAAGAAGAGGCCATGTTTTGGGTTGCTGAGTGTTTCAGAGAACCAACGCTTTCAAACTGGTAATGTCAGAAAGGGTTGGTTACAGAGTGTTTCAGAATGAAAATGTTCAGAGGTTTCAGACTGGTTTGGTTTACACAGCCTCCGCATTGGTTTATATAGACAATGACGACGCGGACGACACGACACTCTGTCGATCACGTGCCTCGCCGCATGTCCGGCACAACTTTTGACGGCTCGCCGCTCGATGATTTCTGTCGGGCACGGCTTTTGATGAAGTGGGCGCGCCTTTTGAGGGCGCGACTTTTGAGGGCTCGATATATATCTACATGTATATCTTTTGGGCAGCCTATATACACAATCATATAGTATCTTCTACATCAGTCCGGCATGACCCCATAAACTGTCCCGACATTGATTCCGGTTAGCTTTTACAACGGTCCGGCATGACCCCATAAACTGTCCCGACATTGATTCCAATTAGCTTTTACAACGGTCTGACATGACCCCGTAAACTGTCCCGACATTGATTCCGGTTAGCTTTTACAACGGTCCGGCATGACCCCGTAAACTGTCCCGCCATTGATTCCGGTTAGCATCTACATCGGTCCGGCATGACCTCGTAAACTATCCAGACATTATCTGCTACAACGGTCTGACATAACCATACAGTGTCCTCTACAACGATCTGACATGCCCGCACAGTGTCTTCACCAACGGTCCAACAGGACCATATAGTGTCTCCTATCCTCTTTTATTTTATGTATTAGTCTATTTTTTTATTTTGTTACTCTTTCCAAACTCAAGTTGATTTGTGTCTATCCTCCTTGAGTTTGAGGGGGGTTGTTAAAACTACTCCACTCCACCTACTCTACACCTACTCTCCACCCACATCTCCTATATAAAGGAGACCAACCATGTACATAATATATATCAATCATAATACATACAATTTATTCTCTCTCTATCAATTTATCTTACAAAAACTTGTAAAACCCACTTCTTAGTTAACTAAGACCCCTGTATTGGATTTCATTTTATCTCTTTTTATATTTATGCCTTGTTTGGCATATACTAAAAAAGTCAAAAAGTCAATATCCTATTTAAATCACATCACTTTATTTAAGTCACATCACCTCTCTACCACATCGCTTTAAACCCAACCCATATTTCATAAAAAATTAAAAAATGTACTTATTTAGAATATTTCAAACAACCCCTTAGTTTCATTTTTGTTGGGTTTTATTTTGTGTGTAAATGGGGACTGGTGGTGATGTTTTAGAGATTTTATGTAATTTATTTAATAGATAGTGGTATTATCAAATGAAAGAATCAGTTTTGAGCTTGTGTTAGGAAGAGAAAAAAGCGTAGGAAGTGATAATCTATTGTGGACCTCACATTCTACATACGTGTAAGATGTAGATTATATATATAAATATATATATATTTTTATTTTTAAAGATGTGGATTATAATTATTTTTTTTTTTCTTTTTTTGTGATGAAGATGTAGATTATACCATTAAAGCAAAACTTCTATACAAATATATATATATTTTGAAAAGATGTTGTTTCAATGCACAACAGGGACACAGCAGTGATCCCAAATCGCTGTTGTAGATGGATTTTGTGTTTGTTACTATAATAACTAAATTATCCCTCAAATAAAATTACACCATTCTGTTGGAAATGGTAGAAAAATTCTGGGTAAAATCAGAATTTTTCCTCAAGTTTGGTCTAATTTTTAGGTGGACCCCGAGTGTCGATTTACTCGGGTCAAAGTGGTAACGCGTTCTATGCCGTGTTGTGATTCACGTAGTATATTTGGTTGCTCAAAACCATTACCGAGTGAATGGGAAATTGAAGCCAAAGTATGCTCCATGGAAATGGAGTTTTGGTGGAAATTCCTTAAGGTTATAAATTGGCTTGTCCCACATTGATTTGGTGGGGAGTTTTGAAAGGGTTTATAAGGCTTAGGGTGAGATACTTGGGGTGTGCCCCAAGGGGTACCCAAGTGTTTTAGAGGGAGAGGTTATGGGCAAAATGGGCTAGACACATTGGACCCAAAATCACCACACGCGCGCCGGTCGGGCGGGCTGGGCCTGGGCGCTGGTGTGCTTCTAATCTTTTTGGGCCAAAAACATTTGAATTTAATTTTATTTTTTGGTAAAATAAAATTCAGAATTCAAATTAAACTGTTTTGGAATTTCTGTACATCCAAACAGAGCCCTTCCCGTTTTCAAACAGAAATAAACTAGTTTGGAATTAATGCACACCCAAACAGGGCCCTTCCCGTTATTGCTATCTGTTTGAATAGTTAACAGATTCAAATCTGTTTGAATTCAAAACCCAACAGGTATCATACCTGTTCAATTCAAAACCAAGAGCCACATACCTGTTCAATTCAAAACCAAGAGCCACCTTCACATCTATAAATAGGACCACCCTCATTTGGATTTTGTAACTCTAATTTTCGTCCTTCATAATTCTGCAAACTTCCTCTTCATTTTGCTGCATTATTTTCTTGTCAGAGAGAGTATAAACACTTTGTGTGTTCGTTAGACAAACAATTTGTAGTGCTGCTATTGTTTGTAGTAGATCATTTTATCCTGGGAGATAGACGTCCAAATTCTGAAAGCACCGTGGAGAGGACGAATCTGTCTTAAGGACACAGTGTTAAACACTGGACTTGATCAGAAAAGTTATTCAAATAAATTAACCAAGTAAGTTGTTTAATTTTATTCTGTTTTATTTGTTTATTTAATCAGATTTTATTTTTGTTTTTGTAACAAAATAAAATTTACAGTTTTATTTATTTATTTATTATTTCAAGTTTGATTTTTTGTAATCAAACAAATTCTCTCTTTTTTCTTTATTTCTTTTAATTCTAATTGTTGTTGTGTACACAATAGAATTAATTCTTTTAAATACAGTGAAGATTGTCCAACACATTCAAGTTGAAAAGTAAAATTTTTGAAAATAATAAATGAAAATACCCCATTGCAATCACCACATCCAATCTCATACCATAACCCCATCACAATCCTTCTTATAAATTGCAAAGCAATTTCCATGAAACCAAAACACCATTGTTGGTTAGGGTTGAAAATGAGTAGAGTCGAACCAGTTAATAAGTTGTTCAAACTTAATTTGATAATTTGACGGATTTAAAATTATGTTTAAATTTGTTTATATAACAAGTCGATCTCAAACGAGTTTTGAATAAGTCAAATATAAGTCTAGCTCGAGTAGCATGATATTTTATTGTATATATAAATTTATCGAGTCGAATAATAAGTTGTTCAAATTTGACTAGAAAAATTAACAGCTTTAAAAGTATACTCAAACTTGACTTATTTATATAATGAGTTGATCTCTAATAAATTTTTAACGAGCCAAACACGAATCGAACTCAAGGCACTTGATTCACTTAACAGCTCTATTGCCTTTCCAAAAAATTGCTAAGCAATTTCCATGAAACCAAAACACCTGCCATTAAATTGCTAAGCAATTTCCATGAAACCAGAACACCATTGCCAGCGCCATCCCCTTGGGGACCACCCCATCCCGGCTGCCACCTATTAAGCTAAACGACAACCACCCAAAATTTTTTTAAAAAAAATTAAAAATTGTATGTTAAGATACAAATCAAACAAACCCCTTGTTTTTATCAGAAATTTTTTGAAAAAATTACATGATAGTGGTATACTGTCCGAAAATAATTACAAATTCATAAAAATAAAATAAATAAATAAAATAAATTATGATTTTAATAATTAAAGTTTATAAAATTTACCATAAATTTGTAATTTTTTTTTGAAAAAAAAAAAAGACATCTGGTTTGTTATTTTCTCAATTTTTTTTGTTATTATTATTTTTTAAAAACAATTATATATGTATATATATATATGTTTTTCACTTTTTAGGTTCCTCTAGTATAAAAGACTCTCAAAAATAGTTAATTTTTTTGGCAAGAATTCAAAAAATACTCACTAAAAACAAAAAAAAAATCAACTACTTTTACTTTTTGTTTTTCATGAACATTCTTCAATCTTTTTTTATTTATTTATTTTTCTAACCG